TTCGTTTATAGTTGTTGTATGCCTAATATGGTTGTTGTATTGTGTATTGTAAAAGGGATTTCTTCTTTTCTTCCCATTTTATTTAACTTCCTCTCTAAACCGAGGTATTTTCTTTTTTGATATGTTAGTTTTCGTTACTTTCCTCTCTCCAAGTGATTCTTTTCCTGCGTTAATTATTATGGTATTTCCATCACAAAATCTATAAATAAAGATAGTATCCGCATATTTTTCACTAGAAAATTGATGTGGCATTTTTTAAATCAACACGATTTACAGTTCCAGTTTGAGAACGATTTCCAAAAAGGAAGTCGAAACGTCAAATAAACTCATTTTAAAGTAAAATTATGGCTTATTCCCAATAATAGAAAATTGTATTAAGATGCCATAAAAAATACAAGTTGTAGTTTCTTTCAGAACAATCTTATGATACAGTCTAGAAAAATAGGCATCTAAGACAAGACATAAAATTAAGGATATATCAAACAGAAATTAGACCTATACCTAGACCTATAAAACAGACACATCCAAAACGAAACAACTACTAGAAAGAGATTAGAATACTCTGGAGAATATTAGGGGAAAATCTAATGGATAGGAAGAGAACAAACCTTTAAAAATGACTGTCCAAAGTAGAAAAAATATGAGTGTATGACCACCTTATAATACAATATAAAATACAAATGGGCTGTTATAAAAATTATGTTATCAATAATTTTCAAACGAAGTATAAGTAATAAACATGAACCCTTTTTTAAATAAGCCGCATATATATTTTACTTTTTTATGGATGTTAAAAAAGTTAAAACAATTAGTCAGCATGACATTTACAAATAGCTAAAGCGGGGAAAGTATAATTATGTTTAAATAAACATTTCAATTTACTAAAAATAATCTCACTAAAACAGCGAGAAGATTAAAAATGGTTAATTAAAATATTTTTAGGTGAAAGTTGAAATAAATGTTACGAAGATAACAAATACACGTGAAAACATTATGGCAATCAAAATGTTTTATGATAAGTTTCTCTTGCTGTAAGAAACATAAAGGTTAATGCCTGATTTTACATTTTCCTTTTATTATAATCTAAATCTTAAGTCAATATTCCACATGCTTAGCACGATACACAATCTGTGCTTGTAGAAAAATGAGAAATAATTTTTTAAATGCCTATTATAAAGATTATTTAAGAACTTTGTTAAAAAGAGTGTACACCCACAGACAACAGATTGATCGTTGCAATACCAGCTTGTTCCTCCAGTGCGACAGAGAAAACTGACGCAAAGCAGTCCCTGCCTCTCTTTCTAATGGGCTGGGTTTATCGACCACGTGATCTTCTCTTTGGTGACTTTATAATATATTTTTATCTGATGAAACATGAAAAAGTTAAAAATTTTGTAAGGTTACAAAACATAGTCAGACATTTATTGAAGGAGATAATTTGTTGATCAAGTGTGACCTTTACAAAATACTACCATGATGAAATGACTTCTGATGTTTTAGAAATATATATATATATATATATATATATTATATATATATATATATATATATATATATATAAATATATATATATATATATATATATATATATATATATAATATATATATATATCATCATCATCACAGTCATTAAACATCTTAGTAGATGTGTTGTGGTTCATAATTGGGCTTCAGCAACTCGGACAGTTTGATTGATAATATTTCTCCACTGGTCGCGGTCATCAGTTATATGTATTGCCTCAGTATACTGTTTATTGAGAAGCTTTTTAGTAATGTCCGCCCATCGCTGTGGAGATCTTCCGCGTTGGCGTTGAGTCTGAGGCCTTCCTTGGACCACCAACCGCTCCATTTTGTAATCACTTGGATGGATATGGCCAAAGAACTTTAAAATTCTAGAGTAAACGGTACTGGAGAGACGCTGATCCGGTTTAATTTTATCCAGAACCGAGATATTTGTACGGCGAGCCGTCCATGGAATTCGAAGCAGGCGTCTCCATGTCCACATTTCAAAGGCGTCTATACGTCGTCGATCTGATTCTTTGACTGTCCATGTCTCGCATGCATAGTAAAATATGGAAAAGACCAGAATTGAAACGAGTCTCTTTTTGTTTGTCATAGTAATGTGACGATCACGCCAGACCCCGTTTAGTTCACTCATTGCTGCTCTTGCTAGTTGAATGCGTCTTCTCTAATTTCGGATTCACAACTGCCTGTGTTGTTAACTAGAGCTCCAAGATATATCATAGATGAGACTACCTCGCATCCCGCAATAGTTTGGGTTTCAGGAAACTGTTGTTGGCGATCAATAACCATGATTTTGGTTTTTTTGTAGTTAACCATGAGTCCAAATTTTAGCACTTTCTACCTCGGGTTTTTTTTAATAATTTAATAATTTCTTCTGGAGTAGAGGCTAGAAGTGTAGTGTCGTCTGCGAAACGCAAGTTAGATATCTTAACCACCACCTAGGTTTACTCCTCCCTCCCAACCAACCAAAACTCTGCGCATTATGAACTCCGAGTAGATGTTAAATAATAATATAATAGTCTCCCGTTTTATACCGCACGCGGCTTTGGGAGTATAGCAGGGTAGTCTGCTATATCTAGGGCCTACGGTATACAAGGAAGGTAACATGGCCAGTGCTACGCTTCAACCGCCTATTATTACCCCTGGTTTTACCCAAGGTACTCATTTTATTCAGGCTGAGTCGACCTGGGGCCTATAGACATTTTTAAAAATGCCTAGTTGTTTCTTGCCGGCGGTAGGATTCGAACTCACGACCACCGGCATGCGAGGCAAGCACACTACCGCTTGCGCTACGCGGGCCCTAGATGTTAAATAATAAGGGAGATAAAACGCATCCTTGGCGTACTCCCTTCTCCAAAGTGCATTTGTCAGACAGATATCCGTCCGTTCGAATATATGCCAGGTTATCTTGATACAGTTTGCTCATAAGGTGAGTCAAGTGTTTAGGTACAACCCATTGTCGTCAATATGTTCCATAGTTTGTCCCATCTAACATTATCAAAGGCCTTTGTATAATCGACGAAACATATAAATATCGGGATCTGGTATTCTCTGGCTTTTTCTATGATGTTTTCGTACATTAAGGATTTGTTCTCTAGTACCTCTGCCCTTTACAAATCCAGCCTGCTCAGGTGCTATTGGCCAACTTATGAAGTTTTCTAGACGCCGTTGCATATATATATAATATATATATATATATATATATATATAATCTATATATATATTTATATATATATATAATATATATATATATATATATATATATATGTATATGTATATATATATCTATATATATATATATATATATATATATATTAATAAAAAAAAAATTATTAATAATTTTATGACAAAAAGTTTCATGAAAAGGTTTGCATGGTATAAAATCTACGATACGATCTTTAAATATTATATTTTGTCAATATTTTATGAGTTATGTCAAAAAATATGAATTTTGCTCAAGAGTAAACTACCTTTAAATTTATATTTCACAATATCGAAACTGGTTTACAAATTTTCACAAAACAAAATTTATTAAAAATATACTGAACATTGAATAGTTGATAATCTTTGAATTAATTAATGCCTGCCTAATAACATTTTAGCAATAAATTTAAATTAGTAATACCATAATTAGTTATTTTTTGTTGTAATAATTTAACAAACATTAGAAAAATACTTACATTATTAGCTCATTTAACTTACTAACTCTTCAACATAACCATATTGTCTCAATACAGGTAATTGTTCTATCACGAACGTTTTTTAATAGCCTTCTAACCATAGTCGAGCCATCAGCCATCATCAAGCCAATAAGCTATCTACTGAAGCTGTTTTTAAAGGTCATCCACAAAAGAATTTACCGGAAATGCGAGTAACAAATTGCGCCCAATCAGTTTGGATTTGTGAACGCCGTTGGTACGAGGGAAGCTTTATTTAGCGTGCAGATCTTTACATCTAGCCTTACATCTAACCTATTGTAGCATGAAATATCATCCTTGTAGAACCATATTTGTTGACGTTACAGAAGGGAAACAATATCACACTCACGAACACACATTTGTTTTAAATGAATACTGGTCTCAAGTTTTGATGGTCAAATTTGAATTAGTCTACACCACTTTACGCACTTTTGGCTAGCGACTGTTCGTCTTGCCGAATTGCATATTACCATATTCGAAATGTGTTTTGCTCTAAATGGGTTATCTTATAATATTTCTTGGATATTATAATATATGAAATCACCCTAAATGATATCCTGATCTTAGTGTATGAATAAATTGGGGTTGTATGAATACAACTAGTTAATTTTGAAATCATATACCATTGGTATCTGCCGCGCGTACCTAATTATGAGAACTTGACACTGTACTTACTCTAATTTGTGTATGAGTGCTCACTTACCTCACTCACTTATTTCACTGACTCACCAAGCTCACTCACTTAACTCACTCACCTCACTTACTCATCTTATTCACCCACCTCACTTACCCAACTCACTCTCTCCTTAATGCATATAACTCCATTAATTTTGTTTCGATCACTCTGAAATTTTAACTGGATACTCTTGACTAGCATTACTACCGAATAAAAAAAAAACAAACAATACCCTACCCTCCCCCCTTAAGCACAACAATCCCGCCTGAACTACAAGGAGTATTATTTTTTATATTAATACTAGATATTCTTCAGGCGTTCTAATATTTTTTTTTTAAACAAAACGTAACATTTTGGTTTTACCAAAATTTTACCAAAGTTCATTTTGCCAGTATGTCAATGTATATAAATTTGGAATAATCAATATGCTAAATTAAACGACAAGGCTCACTACAACATTCATTTTGTATTAAGACTGTTAATATTTGTCTTTTTATTAAACGCCGCAAAAATTGTTTAAACCAAAACTGTTATGCATCGGTAAACTTGACACATATTTATACAGATTTTTATTTTGAAAAAATAAAACATTATATAGTTACCAGGTTTTGAAGAACAACCGCCATCACCGAATTCTGGAAACCTCGCACAATCCAGAAACTCTTTAATTTTGCCTTGAAGTCGGTTTCCGCATCCAGTCATGAAGTCTCTGCAGAAACTCCTACAAGGCAATATCATCTCATCTTCGTTGGTTCCTTTCTTACACGAAGGTTGGAGAACTTGACATATAAAGTCGTATGCATGTCTGTAGCATTCTGCGTCCACCTAAAGGATATACATAAAAGTTAAAATAATTTATTTAATAATTGTGCAGCGCACTTAAGAGTAGTTTTAATGTGTACAACACTTTATTGTAATCTCTGAAATATGGACTTGGTATGTCTTAAATTCATATTTTAGATTATAAATGCCATCACCTTCAGGGTTATAACGTAAGAGCGGATATCATACATTCAATCGGGATACCAGATAACACTGACATAGCATCGTCAAATTTTATAATTATCCTCAAATTGATTTAATGATGAATACATGCTCAGAACGTTTTGCGTACCAATAGCAGTTGCATTGTTTAAAGTTGAAAAATGATTTCGACCATAACATGAAATTAAGATCGTGTTCATTTTCTTCTAATTTAATTTAATTAACTAACTTAAACTTGTGGTTTTGAAGTTCTAATCTCTATTTATATACTGTATGTCGGAACAGAGCGACATTCATGCAGTTTATATAAAAAAAGGTTATTAAGTCAAAAAATCGATTTTTCTATCAATAAGATTTCCTCAATAATACCATTTAATTAAAATTGTAAAATTAAACTAAAATCGCTCATCTGAGTCGTAAGAGATAAGCCAAATCTAACAAATGTTCACAAGAATGAGGAAATTAAGAAAAGCTTTTGACTTGAACAAAGTATTCGTTATTATGACAACGCAAAGCCAACAGGCGATTCATGGAAGTGACTTTTTAAGTATTTAAGAGAGCTTACTCGAGATATGGCCCAGGTATCCAATTTTTTGTACCTTGATCAAGTTGAGCAATTCTCTTTCATTATTTGCGATTCTTAGGGCTTCCTGGTTTCTCACCATATCCATCCATGGTACGCGGAACATTCTTCACACGGTCCACGGTTCGAAAGTCTCTATCCTATTAATGGAGGATATTTTCAATATTCTTGCATCCATGCTGTATACCAATATGGATTACACATAGCATTCTTTATTCACCAATATTCCTATCGATGAAACCATTTCCATCTTGGACTCTAAACATCAATTCCTCCAAGACACATTATCTCTTTTAAAACACTGCATGTCTTATACATGCTTTTCATTCCAAAATCATTTCTATCGTCAAATCAAAGGTTCTCCAATGGGATCCTCCTCTCCCGTAATAGCTGATATCTACATGGAACATTTCGAAACAACAGCCCTGTCCTCATCAACTCTCAAACAAACCTGGTGGTTACGGTACGTGTTACGTTAATGACACCTTTGTCATTTGGTCCCATGGTAAGAACACATTAGATCTGTTCCTCTCCCACCTGAAAGAAATACATTTTCTTGTTTTTCTTCTTCGTGCAACTAGGATTACTCCTGTTTGTCTGCCTCTTATTCTGTTTCAGTCGTTGTTGACTGTACATTATCTTTCCACCTTTTTGGCGGCCTTCCAATGGGTCTTCTGCTATACGGCTTGTTGTTTTTACAGATGTTCGCTAACCCATCTGGTTCCATTCGGTTTACATGTTCGTTCCAGTTTTTTTTTGTTATTTTATCCACCTGTTAATATTTTGAATTTTGCATTGTTCGCGTATACTCCTGTTGTTTTTCTGTCTCTTCAGTATTCAATTCAAGTCTGTCTCTTCAGTTCTCTAGTATTCAATTTACGATGGAAGTTGAGTCTAAAGCGTCTTTGCCATTTCTTAATATTCTTATTCAGAAAAACCCACCTCACAGTTTTTTCTTATTCCGTATACCGGAAACCCACTCATACTAACCGTTATCTCAATACTCAGTTACCACAAAACCCAAATCAATAGGAGCATTAAAACGCATCTAAACCCCATTCCATAAAAAAAGAACCTTGCCGTCTGTGCAATCTCGTCAGACCCGTAAAAAACTAAGTCTCCAATGAAGTCCATGGTGTCCATGAGATGCCTTGTTCCAGTTGCCCACGTACTTACATAGGGCAGACAAACAGTCGAATCTATAACCGTATTTACGAACATTTTATATCTGTAAACATTTCGATACTGTTTACTTGAGCTGAACATCATATTCAAACAGGCCACACAATTTCGAAAAAGCAAAAACTATCGCTTCCATCCGCTCCTTAAAATCGAGAATTATTCGTGAAACTATCGAAATTGAAAAACAGCCTTACATATTAAACACGCGTGGTTATAAACGAATACATTTTAGAACGAGGTAACAAGTTCAGCTACCTGGAATGTTGGATCGATAGTACCCTAAATCCTGATTTAGAAATAAGGTTGAGAATAAAACAAGACAGAAAATCTTTCAAAAAAAATGTTATGTGACTCTCGAATAAAACTGGAAATTCGACTACTTTTATCAAAATGATACATCTGGTCGACTCTTCGCTTTGTAGTTAAAATGTGGCCCCTTAAAATATTAACAGTAAATAAATTGGAGGCCTTTGAAATGAGGATCTCATCGAGAATCCTAAAGATTTTATAGACATCGCATACCTTAAACGAAGAAGTACTACCGAGAATAGGCAAGGAACGAGAAATTTCAACGCAGTAAAAGCTGGGAAAACATCATAGCTAGGCTACATACTGATAAATATAATAAGTATCAATATTCTCAACTAATAGTGAAAGAAAAGAGCGAGGGAAAGAGGGGACTACTAAGGAAAAGACTATCATGGGTAAGAAACATCCGACAATGGACAGGGTTAAACTTTGAAGAGATAATAAGAACAGCTGAAGACAAAGAAGAGTTAGCAGTTATAGTAGCAAATCTTCTTTAAAAATAGGGCACTTTTAAAATAAAAATTGAAAAATTTACGACGACTAAAACTACGACGAAAACGTAGGTGTAGGATGGCTCACGTGATGGACAGGTGTGGCCTACTGCACAGTAAATTTCCTTGCCATACAATCCAAGTAGGATTGGAAGGCGGTATGATAGGTGTGTCCAAGCCTTGGTTTAGACACACGTATTACTAGACTAAGTTTAGACTAACACTAGTTTTATACAAGATATTCACTTCATTCAGACTAAGTAAGATCTAATACTGCTTAAGTATCTGCCTCTCTGATATCTTTCTCATTATTTATTTTAATTAACAATACTGTTTTACTTATATCTTTTAAAGCAGTCGGCATTATAAAAAATCAATAGGTGATAATAATTTATTTAAAAAAATAAATGTATCCTGTGGATCTAAATAAGTAGATTTAAAAGGCAAATTTCCAGTGGTTGGTTGTACCGTAGTTTAAACAAATTGCAATGAAGAACAAACTTCTTTTTGTAAAATGGAATTTTTTTTTTTAAATTATCCAAAATGGATTTATACAATTCAGAACGTTTTCGATTCGTCTATAAAGCTGTTTGGAACTAATGCGGTCAGATGAACCTTAAATTACAGAATTTGAGTAACGAACATTATATTATTAAGACACTTTGGTTATGGTAGCAATAATAAAACTTATTAAAATTACCTAATAAAATTTTTACTTCGATAAAGTATTTTTGTGTTGTTTTTAATACATTTTATGAGAAACAAAACCAAAATAATTTGTTTTTTACAGTTAATTTTTAACTTGATAATTTCAAAAATATTTGTCTTCCGTAATATGGTAATGAACCACGACATAGTAAATAAATCTAATTCTATGCTTAAATGTGGAATAATAGTACTTATTAGTTTTGGTTAAGTAGGCAATTCGTAAAACTAGAACAGAACAAATAAATCAGGGCATTTAAATAAAGAAATAGATAAGTGTGTAATGTTAGATTAAGGCTGTTTTCGCAGTTATAGCATACTGCGATTTGAAGTGGGCGTATCACTTACTTTTCTACACTGCTATGTCAGACCCTACGTGACTTCCTAATAGTTTGGATGTTTATTCAGTGGCGCCGGCCCACGGGTTGTTTAAAATAAATGCATTATTCTCCATTCAAATTAGTTTTGTCGGAATACTTTTTTTAGATTAATTATCGTAGATAATGTTTTAAAAAGAATTAATCACATTTTTAATTTATATGTCTTAGCTAAACATAGTATTAAATAAAAATTTGTGAAACGTGACTGCACAAAACACCATGGTGTTTATTTATAATAAATTTAAATTTTGTTATATTAATATTAATATATAATTAATATTTTGTTAATATTTGTTAGAGAAAACTGATATTAGCGTAGTAAAAAATTAAACAAAAAATATTTTTATTTATCTATAAAAAATTGGTACCTGCGAAACCATCATAATAGTAAATGTATTTATCTGGCAAGTATTTCGAGGCGACGCACTGCGAGGAAAATATTCTCTGAATGGAATATACATTATTTTAATATATTTATAGGTTGCAGTTACATAAGAAAAGTATCCAATTAATGAATAAAACACAAATCGTGGATAGTTATTTCATCATATCAGTGGCATTACAGCTCGTCATGAGCCAAAGGCTTCTTCAGAACATTCTTCCATTCGCCCCTGCCTCTGGCAACTTTCTCCATGCTTTAACTCCGATGGATTTTAGATCATCCTCTATGTTATCTTGATACCTAAGTTTTGGTCTTCCTCTGGATCGTCTTCCCACTGGTCCTCTTCGGTCGAAAATTTTTCTGATCGTTTCATCTTCATCTCGCCTAATTACATGTCCTATCCATCAAAGGCGTACTAATTTAATAAATTTTACAACGTCAGGTACTACACCTGAAGAAGCATCGTAGTTTACTTTATACGATCTTTTTGACCAAGCACCATCAGCTATAACGGTTATTAACCCATTCCGTCGGAATCTACTTCACCAATTTCTTTGGCTAAAGCTAATTCCTCCCGTCCAGCCTCTTCTAAGGAATCACAAAGTGTTTGGCCGATGATATCTGCAACTGTTTCCGTATGTTTTGCATACTGCCTGTAGGAAATCACAGGTATATTTAATGCAGTGTGCTGCTGCTGTATGTCTGAATAACCAGAACCATTCAAGTTCAGTGAATTGTTACCAGAATCCTATGTTGCTATCTCCTTTTCAATATTCCACATTTGACATTTAAAAGTCAATGTACTTATC